TGATCGTGTAATTATTATTGGGCCCAACCTATCTTGTAACCTTCGGTAATTTCATAAATATGTAAAATGCCATATATATATATATATATATATATATATATATATATATATCTTGATATTGTTGTATATATATATATATATATATACGATTTACAATTACGAAATTCTAACATAATGTTTACTAAGCAATCACATAATTTTTGCTTATATATTAATTTGTTAGCAATATAGTATTTATGGCAATAATTTCTCCCTGTAATATAATAATGCATAAGTTAAAAAAATATTTTTTAATTCATTTTTTTTCATTATTTTGTTTCTGGAGGTTTATCAAAAATATCTGAACTTTTCAAGGTAAATTCTGCAAGAAATTGTAAATCGTTCTAATGATGGAAAAAATTATCTATTTTTTAAAATTAGAAGCTAATTTTTTAAGTCGGTAAGTTTCACTTATTGCTGATTTGGTGGTGGCTTTAATGAATCTAAATCAACCATAAAAAATGATAAAAAAAAGAATAACAAAATAGTCATTTTAAAGAGTCCATATCTCTGATCATATAAAACAACACTGCTAAAATGCAGCTTTTAATTTTTGGCTTCAAACGGTTGTAGTAGAGTTATTTTTTGTGAACAATTAAATAATTACAAGATATTAACTTCCCATATGCTAAGTTATGATAATCGCAAAACAATGGAAAATGTAAATTTTTGCGTACCTTTACATTTCAAATGTTTCTGTACATTTTGGAATACCTTAGAAAAAAATCATGTATGTATGTGTGTATGTGTGTGCATGTATGTATGTATGTGCGGATACAATTTTTCGTCTACGATTTCGTGAACACGAATCAACTCAAAAAAAAATCGATTCCTATTGATAAGAAGACGTGCTGAGTAGTTTTTGGACAAGGCAGGTCGAGCCCTTTCAAAGATACGGGGCAAAAAGAGCCAAAAATGGTAGTTCAGTTTTTGAAAGAATGGAGCTTCTGATTTAAATAATTCAAAAAACATTTTATTTGTGTTGACGAAATAAAAAACTGATACAATTTTTGGGAAGACAGGTTTTGAAGATCCAATATAAAAAATGTGATTTGGTGGTCAAAATTTTTTATTAAACATGGACACATTATTGGATATTTGATAGCGATCTTGAGAATAAAAACAAATTTTGTTCACATTTCTATGGGTTCCGTATCAATATTTATCCGAAGAAACTTACTGATTTTTGTATTAGGTTTAACCCAAGTTAAAGTGAAAAAAAAGCTTGTCGAGCTTTAGAGATCCATGTCCAAACATACATATATAAGTTTGTAATTTATAGTGTCTCCATAGTATTGTCTGGAATTCTGAGTAAAATTTTCAAATTTTATTCCATCGACGTTAGAAGCTAACGTTCCATTCACCAGACGTTTCGGAATGCAACAAACTTTACGTGTTCAGAATTCGGAATCGATCGTGTGAACAATAGCAATATAAATATAAATTTTCAATATATGTATCTCGAAATGCAATCGAATCAGTGGGCGATACTTTGAATAATAATAATTATAAAACGTTATGTTATCAAAGTGTGATAATTCATACTTATGGGGAATAATGTTCCCAAAACATAATGTATAGATACTGGGACTGGGAAATATGTGAGTATGCTGATTGATTAGAAAAATTTATTGTAGACAAGAAATAAGTTTATTGCAAGTACTTAATTGTTTACTAAAAACCAAGTCTATTGACAAGATAACCATTGTTTGAAGTCAAAACTTACAAACTAAGGATTTAGTCTTGAAACAAAAACAAAGTATAAATATTCTTGTAATAAATGAAGATTTAAGGATATGAAAATTGAATTCTTATTTACTAGTGTACGGCTATAAGCATATTGATATGTATCAACATTTCTGATAAGTAATTTTATACATTAAATTATAATTATAAATTGAATGCTCTTGATCGATAATTATTTCACAATAATAAATTCAAACACTTGCAAAACCCTGGAGTCAGTTTTCCAAACAAAGATTTATGCCCAAATAAAATTCTGGTAGCAAAAATACTTCTCTATTTTATTTTATAATTTCCAGTAAATGTTACTATATTCCTCTACCTGACCTCGACAGGTGTACTGCAATATCCACCAGAAGGATTAGCAATTATCCTTTCCCATTCAAGGATACTGTTTGCGTTTTAAAAATGCAAATTGTTTTCGAAGCGTACGATAATAATGGTCCATTGTGTTTGATTTAGATTAGATTTTATTTTTACTCCATTGGAGAACAGGTAACACATCAAGGAAAAAGCAGAGATTGTAAAGAAAAGGTCCGCTGTCGAACAAATGAAAATTATTTGATAATATCTGCAAATCGAAATTATTTTTCACATATAATTTGAATTCCAAATTTATGGATATATCTCACAAAATCTGTTAATTATCGGTTATTTCATTTAAAATTCTAAGAGATAGAGATTTGTGATATGATTTGGCCATTTTAGAAATTTTGCCTGAGGCTAACAACTGTTAATTAGAATGTTTGTCGATAACATATTTTATATACATATATAAATATGTATGTGTGTATAAATACATATGTTTAATAGTTTATTTAGATATACATATAATTCTAAATAAAATTATTTATTGATAGTGATAATTTATAGAATTTACCAATATCAAGTTTTCTTTTAATCTGGTTATTGTGACATTGTTACGCGACTAATTTGTCATAAATATTTATTTTATGAAGTGAATTAATATTTTACTTATAAAATTAACTTTACTTTTAAGATAAATAATACTTTACTTTAAAAATTATCATTGAAGTGGAATTAATAAGTATGCATTTTTAGAAGATTTTGTTCTTTAGGGGCGTCTAATAATTACGTGATGCTTTTAGGGTAGGGGGGGGGGGTGTAGACAACAATATCACGTGTATTTATTTTTTATCTAAATTTAAGAAAAAACAGACATTAAGAAACAATCGATTTTTTCGTAAATTCGAAAAATTCGTTCGAAAAATTTTATGTAACTAAAAATTACATAAATTTGTTATGTAATTGGAGGTAAGGTAATTTTAAATATTACGACGTATCACCAAGGGGGAGGAGAGGGGTCCAAAAATCCCTAAAAAATCGATCACGTCCGACTATCTATTTGCTTCGGATAAAATATTTAGGATTAACTTGACCTCCTTTACATATAAAAATATTTAGTCGTTTTCAAATTCCTTTATTAAATACAGCAATTTTACTATCTTCATGTAATTTCAATTACATGAGATCATCATTCTTACTAGAAAAAATCACTCAGAAACTCAGAAATTCAGAAACCAAGAATCACTCAAAAATATATTAAAAGGGTATTAATTATTTCTTGTAATTGATAGAGGATAGAGGAAAATCTGTTTTTCCCAATTCTGTCCATAAGTTAAGTGTATAAAACATGCCAATAGGTGAGAAAGCATCATAAATGCTAGTTCAATTTATATAATCTGATTTACAACAGGAGCAATATTGTTTAACAATGCACATTGTTTAAAACGTAAACAAGTCGCGCCTTATTTTTTAAATTAACTCATTCCAAACGATGAGTAATGCTAAATGAAAAATTGTTAGCAAGGATGTCAAAGTCTGGATCAAGTGGGGCCTAATTATAAAATTTGTGAGCTAGGAACTTGTGGAGCTCAAAGTTCAGAAGCATTAAATTCCAATATTTGGTAACATCCCGTACAGTAAATTATAGTAAGCGCAAAAAAATTGAAAATATTTTTTTTGCATATCTTTACGTTTCAAGGTCTTCTGAAGATTTTGACATTTTAAAAAAAAATGATGTGTGTGTGTGTCGATGCAAACTTGCCTTAAAGCGCAAAGTTACTTATAATTTTTGTTTGTTTGCTACCAGAATTTTATTCTGGGCATAGTGTTTTGGTTGGAAAACTGACTCCAAGGTTTTGCAAATGTGTGAATTAATTATTATGAAATAATTATCGATAGAGAGCACTCAATTTATAAATTTTATGTATAAAATTACTCATCAGATATTATGTTGATACATAACACTGTGTCTGTTACACTTATTCACAATTAAATAAATAAATGTTTGATGACACATCATCTCGATGTTTAGATGAGATGACAAAATCTTATCTTGAGATTCTATAACACGTTCTGCATCTCGTATTCTTCATAATATAATTATAAATACGATGACATGTTTTGTAAAATTGTCATGCACAACATACACAAATATAAAAAAGCTTTGACAAGATAAAAAAATAGTCATATAAAAATTATGCTTTACATAATCATCATCGTATTAGATTTATTCAAAAAATCTTTTGTTTGTGTGCACAAAATGCGTTTGCAAAAAATTTTGTAATTTTGAAAATTTTCAAAAAAAATTTAAAGTTGCAAAAAATTAAAATACGCGCTTCGATATTACATCTCTCTTCGATTGCTCTGAAAAAGTTCGAAATATAACAAAAAAACATTCAAATTTTTCAAAAATCATTTTTTTCCAAAATTTTCAAAAATCTCAAATTTCATTTCTTCCAAAGTTTTTAATTTTTAATGGTTTTTCGGCAAAGGAAGTTTCATCAATTTGCCTTAAGGCACGATGCTATACACCACTAGTTTTATTATTTTTTGTTGTTATTTTTTGTTTAACATTTCACTTTTAACACAGCTACATGATGCCATTTGTATAAATTTTTGATAAATTTCATATTTCTTAAATTTTATTTATCATTAATGAATCACAAATATCTATTTTCTCGACTAATCGCATCAACTCTTCAAATGATGTCATGGACCAATGACCAATCAGAATTTAGGGAAGTCAGTTTTATATCGTAGATCTACACCTTAGGCGCGCCTATAGAAGTTTTACTTCAAAAAACTATCAAAAATATTTAACTGAAAACATACTATAAACTTAGTGGTTTTCTATCTAAAACAGTTATTTGAACTTTAAGCTTCATTTATTTCATTTATTTTTTTTCTTTCAGATGTCGAATTTCCAAAGAACAAGAAGCAAGGTCTGGTGGGACTCCGAAGATGACTATCCAACAACATATCAAGCACCTAAAACGCCACAAAACGCTCAAAATGTCTCAAACAGCTCTCAAAATACTACAAATAATTTAAATAAAAACGAGCACTCGCCAATTGATAACCAAATTTTACAAAAATACCTTGCAGAAAACCAGAACGTACGCGACGTGCCAACTTATTACGAAGAACAACAATCTGCATCTCCCAACCATCAACTTTCTGGTGATAAAAATGTAGTGGAAAATTTAGATAGTAGTAAAAATAATTTAGAAGGTTTTCAAAATCTCTCTCCTGGTAGTCCCAGGCCGTATCCCAGAATGTTGAGAGCAGCAAGTCCAGCAAGTCATAGGAGTCAAGATTCAGGATTTTCTGATAGCGATTGCTCACCAGCACAAACTGCTCCGAAACCGATAAAACGAGAAGAAAATTGGCAGAGAGTTATTGAAAGTTTGAGGATATCTAAAAGTTCCGATGCAATATGCAGCAGAAATGATCAAGCAGTGGTAAATGATGTAAAAGTAAGTACTTCCAATGGAATCGACTTTGAAAGTCAACTTGATGAAAACTTTTGGAAAAACTTGAAAGCTCCTAAAAAATCTAATACCAGTACTCCAAATACCATAGCTCAATTCAATAGTATCCAAAAAGGTTTTACACCTGATTTGCAAAAAATACAATTAACACCACTGAAGAATTTTATGCAAACGCATCAAGATGATAAAAAAGTTGAACCAAAAAATAATATTATAGAAAAATCAAAAAGTGTAGATGTTGATATCAGTAACGTGCAACGTAGACCAAAATTATTATCAGTTCGAAGTTGTCCTGATGGCAGAACAAACAGTGTTCACAGATTAATTTACAAGTTTGATCATGGTGAGTCACCTTTACCAGGATTCAAGCCTTCTGTCACAAAAAATCAAACTGACGAGGACAATTCGAAAAATATCAGCCACGTTGAAGTTTTATCCAATACAAAAACAAAAGATGACACACTTGATAAAAATAATTTAATTGCAGATACTTTGACCAAGTCGAACATGTCAAGTTTTGAAGTATATAGACATGTACCTAAAAATATATCCAGAAAAATTGAGTACATAGATTACTCTCAAATGTGTTGCGGTCCAATAAATGAAGAAGGTTATACAGCTGATCAATCGACAGTATCTTTGTCCCCTGAAATGTTCCATGAAAAACTTGATGAACTAAATTTCAGCAATGTTTCAACATTGTCTGAAGATCTACCAGATGGACACAAAACTTCGTTGAATTTAACAGGCTCACCTTTATACCAGAGCAGATTATTTGAAGAAACCGATAGAAATAGTATGATTCAAGATAATGAGTTGAACATGGCTAAAATAGTGTCACCTAAAAAGCGTACTGACACGTTCAGTCAAGGTGCTATGGATGATTCGTACTTTTATAAAAAAAGGCAAGGGTTAGCGAATAAAAGTTTGCCTAATCCAAGGAGCGATAAAAACGGTGCAAGGTACAAGTTGAATTTAACACTGTCCGCAGAAAAATTAGGAAACACTCCACAAATTATTGCTGAAAGTGATGCAAATAATGTAACAACCGTTAGTGTTAATTCCTACAACAGCATCGATGATTATGATATTCTTTACTCCAAAAAACCTGAACCTAACAATAACACTGTAGAAATCACAACCACGCCTGAAAACATGTGCCATGTTACCTGTGCAAATAAAAAATCACAAGAAACTGAAATCGCTGATGCAGCATTTTCAACACCAGCAAATGCTAAAAAATGTTATAACAATGAAACTTACGAATTGCAACTGCCGAGCAGTTCAAAACCGTATGCTGGAACATACGATCAAAATGTTGGTGGAAAATTAAGCGATGAAATCACCTTACCATCCAGTGACAGTGATTTAGCTCCAAGTTGTACTTCAACACCAAAATGGTACAAACCATCTGAAGTGAAGCAATTGACCCCAGTCAGTCACAGAAAAATTGCAGTGCATAGGCGAGTAAATTTACTGGCTGGATTTAATGCTGCACCAGAAGACAGTGATAAGGAAAACAGTCCTAAAAATGAGGACGAGAATAAAGTCGGTATTAAAATTGTGGATGGCAAGGTTTGGGTGAAATCCAAGAGCACTAATTGTGAAAAAGATATGGTACCCAGTAGTACAGGTTCTAGGTCAAACACACCGGACAGATCAGGTCCTAAAGATATCTTCGAAGAAGAAAGACCAGGAGACGTCACGCCAAAATTTAACAAAGAGGCTGATAAAAATATTTTTGAAGAAAATCGAACTCCGAAAATCAAAAAAGATAAAAATCTCCTCACCAAAATTTTTGGAAAAAGACAACATCAGCAAACGCTATACAAAACAATACAAACACACAAAAGTGTGTGAAGACCTCAATTTACCAAAAAGTGACAATACTAAAATGCAACAACAAAAAGTAATACCTCAACCTCGGAAATCTTTACAAAGACCAGAAAGCGTTAAAAGCTGGTTGAGGGAATTAGCTGACACTTGCGAACCAGAAGCAATGACGGCTCTGCAAAATAAGGCTATTCGTGGAAGTGCCAATTTTAAGTCAAATTTGAAAGCTGAATCTGTCAATAAAGATGTTGAAAGTGTACTTAGTAATGTGAATGCTGTGAGGAGAATAGCTGAGCATGCTGCAGGAGTTTTGGAGGAACTGGAAAACGTACAAAGGTAAGAAATAGATAGTGGTAATAATAATTAATTTTTTTGACCCTGATATTTCGATTTCTTACTCCATTTACATTAGTTATAGAATTTCCAAAAAGTCCCTATAGTATGTTGCTCCAAAAGTAAAATTTCATTCATTAACTTCCCGTAGGGTAGTTATAGTAATGGGCCAAAAATCGAAAATAAATTATTTTGCATTTCTCGACGTTTGAAGGTTTCTGAACATTTTGGCATACCTCAGAAAAAATGTTGTGTGTGTATTTTTTATTTAATTTGTAATGAATGGGAGAAGAGGTGATTAGTTTTTGGCAAAGACAGGTCTCGCCATTTCGAAGATACAGAGCCAAATGTGCAAAAAATATCAGTTTTTGAGTGAACTAAGCGTCCGATTTGAATGATCTAAAAAACTTTCTGCTTGTATTGACAAAACAATTGCTTTTGAGGATAAAAAATTATTACATCTTTTTTATTTTCCATAAAATATTTTGTAATTTGGATTAAAAATTCAAAAAATTACCCAGGGTAAGCACAGTCTAAGCGCCACTCTGGTACAAACGTTTACCAAAGTGCGTTTAGACTGTTTATGTACTATTGTGGAGCACTAAGCAAGTTAAGTGTGTCGCACAGAATTATAAATGATTTAGAATATATAAATTTTATATTTTGTATAAATTAGGCAACTATTTTTTTGAAATTGAATTCGAAATGAAATGACGATTGTTAATGTTCTGGAGATAAATTGATTTATGATTTACATTTGATTTGCTCAGATATAACAAGATAGCAAAAATAATGAAAGTCACAGTATTTGTAATAATATATTTGAAAACGTTTAAAATTTCTCGAATATTTCATTACGGTACGGAAAGTTCCAGCAATTTGCCTTAAGGCACGATGCCATACACCACTAGTTTTTTTCTCATTACTATGTTTTTCGTTTTAGGTGCATCATTGGAAACAAGCCAGAACTCAGTGGCCCATTATTGCAAAGTGCTTTAGGAGGTGTGACATCATTTGTAAAATCGAATGTGGCAACACCATCAAGTAATGCACTTTTGAAACAATGTGATGCAGTCAAAGTCAGTGGAAAACCAACAGATTTGGAGGACCTGGCTAGAATTGCAACTGGTGTTCGGGCACATGTTGAAGAACAATGTTTAAAATATTTGGAGGTAAGATTTGAAATTTAACTGTAACCTGTTATCAATATCAATTCCTTTAACATTTGTTCTCATCCGCAGGTTCTATCAGACACCTTAGAAGAACCTCCTTCATCACAGTGCCTGTCGGCTGCTTTATCAGGCCTCGGAGCCTTATGTTCGGCTTATGGCGGCGCCATCGGGTACTCTGCTGTCAAAGCTGGTTTGATCAGGGCTCTTTTAATTGTTTGTGTCAACTCACATACATACACATTAAGACAGAACACAAATGGTGAGGAAAATCAACTCACCGCACCTTCTAGTAGTCTTGGAAAAGCTTTGAGAGTTTTGGCGACTTTGTGTCAAACTGAACAAAGTATCAGGCAGTTTTGTCAGGTAATAAAAACTAAAAAAACGAATATTTCAACTTTCCGTACAGAAAACTTTTTCTGGGTTAATTCTGCCGTAATAGAGCTCATAAAATAGCATTGCCATGGCAACGCTCTCTGATGCTTGTTCTTGGTAGTGCAAATGATGTCTATCTATTTGCTGTGCGATCAGGCGTATTTTACATATAAACAAAGCAAAGAAGAATCTTAAAACAGAGTCTTCGATGATGCAGTTATCATAACATTCTCCTTTGCTTTGTTTATATGTAAAATACATTTGATCGCACAGCAAATAGAAAGACTTTTTCATAATTTTTGCTACCAAGAACAAGCAGAAGAAAGCGTTGCCATGACAACGCCCCTTTATGAGATCCGTTAAGGCAGAATTGCCCGATTAGTCTTATTCGATTCAGAATGACTGTAAACGTCGAGAAAACATAAAACTAACAAATGGAATTTCTTGATAAAAACAAACATCTGTCAATAATTCCAAGCCAAGATTTTTTGATTCAACTATTAATTTCTAGGCTGGTGGTGTATCGGTTCTCCAGGATATTTTAGAAGACAAGAGATGTGCAGAACCAGAAAGAAGGGAAGCTTGTGCTGTGTTGACTCAGATTACAGGACCATGGGTCACCAATGAGACTGAAATCAATAAAGACAAGAACAATAAGCACCAGAATTGGGATTGGAGACAAGAGTTAAATAAACATAAGACGCAGCTTGTACGTGCTTTAACAGGTAAGGCATAAAACTGATTTAACTTCTCCCTATTTTTTCTAAATATTTATGATATTGTTCTTCTACTCTTATTCTAGATCTACTCTCTGAGACCAAGTGCTGCCAAACTCTTCTGCTGTGTGCTGCAGCATTGGCAAATGCAAGTCTTCCTCGTATGTCAACTTTTAATGACAATACCCAAGTGATGTCACCTAACAGCGTGGCTGTAACAGAAAGTTTAGCCTGGTGTGAAGCAGCTACAGAATTGCTTAAAGCCGTTAAACGACGAGGACCAGGGTGCTCGGTATTCTTACAGGTTAGTAACCAGAAAACTGGAATAGTTTAGACTTTCTTCAAACAGTAATTGATTGATCTGCTATTTCAAGAAAAGTTACTTACTATATGTACAATGCACAAGTTGTTTCTAAAAATCATTTTCTATTCCAGGAGCAGACAAGCTCTTTGCTCTGCAACTTGAGTGCAGTCCAAGAATGCAGACGCAGACTCTGCCCATCCTCCAAAAACCCAGCAAATTCAAGTGAACCCATAATGGCTATATTTTCATTCCTTAACACATGCAGAAGATTTATAGCACCTGAAGAATCCGCATCTTTCAGGCGTGGTGTTATGAGAGCATCAGAGAGAATGGTAAGGAAATTAATACAAAAACCTCCTAAACCAGTTTTTTAACTGTCAATTATTTGTTCTAGGACTATTCCAGTTCCTTGCTCCAAAACAGTGTCCGTGCCAAGTCAGACCAATCAAGATCAAGCACAAAATCCGAACGTCTACCAAGAACGCCTGACAATTTTTTCACCAATACCAGTTCCAAAACAAATCTAGAACTATCATCATTCAAAAGTCCGGAATCACCCAAGTTCACACCAGCTGAAAAGGCATCAGCAGAACGCATGTTGATATCCACAACTTTATGTTTGACCAGATTTTGTAGAGATCGAGAAGTTGCCAGGTTTTGCTTCAAATTGGGAAGTCAGAGACATCTTTTGTTGGCTGCAGATTTGTTGAAGATGCAGCAGCAGAAGAATGTAAAAGAAGTTTTGGCTGTTTGTGAAGAAACCGCCAGAATTATTTCGGCTTATGGCAATAATGATACTTCTTTGGTCACGGTAAATGAAAGTTATGTTTGAAAAGGTAAAAGACATAAATAGAAATTATTGCATCAAGAATACGCCTGGTTATTGTTGTTTTTTAGCGAAATACTCTATTTATCTGCAAAATGTCAGGTACATTCTAAAATATTGCTTGTCTAATATTATCAATTTGATAGTTTTATAATCCAACTGTCAGTCAGCAAGTTGGCATTTTTGCAGTTTGTTTAGTGTTGTTTTAAAAACTTTGAGTATTTTAATTTTATGGGAAAATTTTTACTTTGTATTTTTGAGTGGTCCTTAACATGGACATTTTTGAATTTCTTTGCTCCCAAGTGCTCCAAAGCTTCCAAATTAATAAAAAATAAATCTCTAATAGTTTTAGCTATTAATATTAACATTTTGATAGTCCGCAATTCAATTAAAAGTTTGGTAATTCATTATTAACATATGTCATTAAGTAAATTCTTGCGCCATCTGTGATAAAAAACACTTTTAGCACTTGTAATTTTGATGGTGCTAAAAGTGTTTTTTTATCACAGGTGGCGCAAGATTTTACTTAAAGACATATGTTAATAACAAATATAAGAAACTCTATTTAAATGTTAATATTATGAGCTAAAACTATTAGAGATTCATTTTTTATAAAATTTGGATACATTTGAGCCCTTGGGAGCAAAAAAAAATCAAAAATGTCCATGTTGAGGACCACCCTATTGTATTTGTTACATATTGCGCTCTCCCTCTAATACAAAGCGTCAAAAAGAGACAGACAACATATTGATTCCAATTTGCAAACAATTTATATATTGTGCTCTCCCTCTAACGAATTCAAATATTAATATTTAAAGGCATATTTAATTTTAAATGAACACAGAATAACATGATTAAATTTTATAACAATTTTCTTGTTCGTTCAAGAGATATTTCTAAATATTGTTTATACTAAGTGGAAAATATATTTTAGTATTTAAGTTATTAGTCATTACTGTGATATTGTAGAAAATAGCAATATGTAAAATATAAAATGCCATTTAGCAACTACTAAAATTTTTACGTACATTAAAATATAAAAATAAAATAAAATTATACCGTAAGATACAATTATTCCAGTATTTTGTCAAATTTTCAAGATTAATATAGATTAAAAACATATATTATAAAATGTGTCAATTCTTCAGCCCATAATTTTTGTACATTGTTAACAAATATTATAGGCCTAGGATAAACTTTTTGTCTCACATACTCATTTATCATAAGACAATTAACGTACTTAAAATTTCAAGAAGGCAAAAATTTATTATTTATCTTATTATAAGCGAGTAGTAACACAAAAAAGTTTATCAAAGAAAAAAATATGAGATTTAATTCGATTTTAAAATTATTATATTTTATGTGCCATTTCGTCATACAAAAAATTATATTTACTAAAAATTTTATATATACTTATGTATTTTATTTGATGGTATTTTTATATGAAATTATAATATATAAATATTAACTAGTCTTTTTTTTTAACTTCCCAAAGGAGAAGTTTGTGTTTTTGACAGAAAATGTCGCGTGCTAATTTCAGGTTATATGCCCATGACATATCCTGTGGTAATAATTTGGAATCCTTTATGTTAACACATCAATTGATTTTTATAACTGTTATAGCAGTTGATAATAATACATATATGTATCAAATAAAATAAGTTCTTTGTTCTTACCTTCAAATCAAAACTGCATTTCACCACTTTAGAACCGCCATTACTAAAATCAAATCGACGTCTGTCAAATTAAACCCTATGTTGACAATTTTTCTTAATGTATTAACAAAGTTATGTTTAATACTAAATTTACCTTATAATGTGCACCACTATATCATATTTAAAATAATTCACAATTACTTTCTGAGACAAAAATTTGAAATAAATCACAACAGGATCGAAGGGACCAAAACGAACTGTCATCGAAGTTAACATCGCACTAATAACAAATAAATCACATGGATTTTTCAACTAACCTTAATAATTTTTTAAATAACGCATTTAAATTCATAAAAAAAGAGTTGCACTTTTATACCTTATATATTTCTTAAATTAAACTTGTACAATAATTCCACTGACTTGAATACTTATTTAAAAATTTGGCTAAATTTGGAAATGTCATTTACAAATCAAATCAGTGTGAACATAGCACAGATAACACTTTACTTACTTTATGTTCAAATCTTAAAAAATAACAATTACACAATAATCTGCAATAAAATTAACAAAATATTATATATTTAAGTAAAACATCCCACTTTTATTAAATTTAGATAAATAATAATAATAATTATATAGCAATAAGAATTGTATATGTTCAGATTTCGTGTTTAAATTTTGCGCCCTTAGTGGCAGCCATTTTTGTTGGCAGTTTTTGACAGTTGTGTAAAGAAAATTATTAACTATCGTTTTAATTAAATAAAAATAATTATGCTCAATTAAGTTATGCATTAAGTTGATGTGATATAAAATATTTCATATGTATGCTCCAAAAACGACAATTACTTGTTATTTACATATATCAGAAAGTCCATACAACTTGCCTCAAGGTAAAATGCCACTTACACTTATTTTATTTTATATAAATATTGCGCATTTAATTCTGTAAAACTAAATAGCTTTAAAGAATATATATATATATTAAAAATTTAAATAATCCGCTATTATTAGTTCTAAAGTTCTCCAACAGATACTACTTGAATTTCGAACATGACATTTCAACAACAAGGAGAGCAATATACAAAAGTCTGTGCGATAGAAAGAGACAAAGCATCAATGTTTTTGTATGACGAAACTTTGGCATGTTTACACATTCCTAATTTGACATTGGAAAACAATCTTAATTACTAAAAGTTCGCGAATTAATATTACAAGTACAGGTGTTGCATTTGCGAACAATATTTTGTTCAATCGTATGCAAATACTTTTAGTTCATATAAAATGATTATATATGAGTGAAAATAATATCACAACTTATTTGAAGGATAAATGTCTTATGGGTGTAAAAAGAATCTTGACAAAGCTGTAAAATATTAAATTATTAATCAGTTTATTTATGAAAATTGTATGCACAATACTACAGTATGACTCATTCAACTTGTTTTTGTTGAATGTAAAAATGTTGTGGAAATTGTAACACAGGTGAGCTATTAAATTTTTGCTACTTACATAATTGTCCATTTGAATATAATTTTCTAAATTGTCTTGAATTTTACAATATAAAAGTTTTTCACCATCTAGGTTCATATATTTTCTTGTACACATTAAAGAATGTAAATGAATTGGACATGTTTCGTTGAACAACTTCCATGCTCAAACTGTTAGAGCTCAGACTGTTAGAGCTCACAAATCTGCTTATAATTATTCAAAGGCCCTTAGTTACAGTCATACATTTTATCAAATCCTTCTGTTCTAACACAATACATATCTGTGATGTGTTACATCCTCCACATCCTTGAATTTTTCAATAATTTCACATTCAAAGTCAAGAGACATTGATTCTGAAATCAAATAATAATTTGTAAGCATATTAAAACAAAAAAGTCTTTCACATTCTTGTGCTTCGCTCACACGAAATAATAAAGTACTGTACTTATTTATTACACTACAAAGCTTAAAATTTTATTTCTTTATTGCTAAAGATAGAATCTAATAAGAATCATATTCAGTTACTACATTACTACTTACTAACGTTACTACTTATATAATTGTTCATCTAAACTCAGGCAAAGATCAGTTTAAAACTTGTCTTTTGGATATTAATTTATAACAAATTTTAATTTTTTATTTTTGGACGATTACTATTACTATTGTTCATTTGAACACAGACGTCAAAGATTACTTTAAAAATTGTCTTTTAAATGATTTTTTATACACCAATTCACTAGCCAATTTTAATTTCAACATATTCTTGTATTCTTAAACGAATCCATCATTTCCATTGTCTTACTTGGATTACATTGTAATAACAAAGTTAATTCAAATATCACAATGCAACTTCCAATTTTGTTTATCTTATAGCTCGAGTCCAAATTTCATAATAAAATCCACGTTTCATTCAAATCTTATAACATATCTGTCTCATATTACATTACACACAAGTTCTTTGGCAGAATATCATATTGTCTTTATATTAATTTTTCATTTCGTTTCAGGAGTTACATAAAAACATTCCCAAGCAAAAACTGCTTTTCAAATTCGAATTTTATATAAATCTTCTATAATATAATGGATGAGGAAGCATGCAGCACAAGTGCAGGGCACTCGACAGATGTTTCATCAAGATATCTTGAATTGTGGGTTCCGAATGACTTTCAAACTTGTTTGCCAATGGTTGATCCATTGTCAAAATTATGCAATGAGGCAGTGCCGAAAGAAGATCAACCGGCGAGGTAAATTATTAATATTATAATTTTTATATATATATATATATATATATATATATATATATATTATATATAAAATTTAATGTATGTAAATATACTCCTCCTAAACGATTATTCGGATTTTGGTAAATCTTTCTGAAGTTTGTTAAGGAAATTTTTTAGGATGTATGTGATTATAAAAATATAGTGATATTGTAGAAATAAATGGCAAAAATAACAAAAAACGCTTATCATTATTTGACATTGAAAACATTTGAGCTGTCATTTGATAGAAATTTCAATTTACTTCAAATTTGAATGTAGCTGATGTTATGAGTCTAGATAATATTAGAATGATATATAAAAAAAATGTAATGTCTACATTATTATTGCCGAAAAGCAGGTGAGATGTGCCAGAAATTAAAATTGTGTAAGATACAGTCAACAGTATATGTTTGGCAGATGAAATTACATCATTCAGTTTAATAAATAATGCAACAAGTCCAATTGCATATTGCATATTGCATTGTTTCTTGTGTCAAAAATTCATTTGTTTGGCATTAGATATGGAATATTTAGCAAATTGATCTTAGATTGAGAAGTGCTTATATGAACTAAATTTTACAAATTAATTCATCTAAAATTTGAACACAAACAATAATGTTTATTAAGTTATTAGTAAAGAAAATGTACTTTAGATCTTATAATTGCCAAAAAGCAACTAATATATCGTACGAGATTATGAAAATTATAGACTAAATAATTGAAGCAATTGTGTTGTGTGGTAAAATAAAGTGTGATATTGTTCTTTTACCGCAAATACTATATTATTTTTTTCTGAATTTCTTATACTGCCTATGCAAAGACCATAAATGAATCACAAAGACAGGACATCAAATAGGGTATTAAAAAGTATAGGATAGAATGTTAAAAAATTTGGAACTTTTGAATTGTAGACGTGGGTACAAAACAACGACTGTCGGGTCATCCAGTATATATATATATTATTTTTATTTTTGCAGATGCTTTCGTGGTCCAATCATTCTAGACCGTAGACAAAGAAGGCATACTTGTGTGTACGATTCTAAGACTTTGAGAGCAAGAAGACTAAGAAACGCTGTATCGCTGAACAACCTTGATTTGGTAATTTTTTTTTTCATAACTCTCAATAATATTTATAGCCCATCACTATCGATACAATAAATTTCATAAATGAATAATCACTTGAACTTCTGTTTGATGTTAAAAATAGATTTTGTTTTCCTCTTTAATATAACAAGTTGTGCATGGCCTTAAGGCGAATTGCTGAACTTCCCGTACCAAAAATTAAATTTTTGAAAAAGATAAAAAAATTTTATAGGTAAGTAAGATGAAAGAATATTTCTAGACCTGAAGTCTTTTCCCCCAGGTCCGTCGCTTGCTCCAAACAGGAGTCAGCGCCAACAGCAGCGACAGCCAACGCAGAAGTCCTTTACATTTGGCCTCCTGCAAAGGCTACACACAGATGGTGAAGCTGCTCATCGAACACGGAGCAGACGCCAACATCAAAGACGACTTAGGAAACACTCCCCTACACTTAGCAGCCTGCACCAACAACATAGAAATCATCACCCTCCTCCTAGACGGGGGAGCTGATGTCTCATCCCTAGACAACTGCGGTAGAAATCCTTTACAGTTGGCTCAGAGCAAGCTGAGGCTGATCATAGAAATGAACAAGAAGAGGATCGAGCCTCCTGAGATGCAGAAATTGAAAGATCAAGTGCAACAGGTGGTCAGTATGTTGTTGACGTTTCTGCAGAAGCAGAAGGACGCTCGAGTCGAATTGGACGATTTGAGTGATAAACTTAATAAGTTGAAAACTTCAGAAATTAATGATATTGATGGAGAGGTTTCGAAATTGTTGGACGACTTGCAAATCTTAGAGATAAAGAAGTAAGTTAAAAAATGTTAGTTTATAAATGTTGATTATTTATAATCATGCAATAGATATAAAAATATATATTTAAGATGAACATTTTTACTGACGTTGCTGATCCATGAGGATCGTTTTATTCAAGAGTCAGTGATAGACATTTTTTCAAGATATTAAAAATGTGTTATTAATAGGATAATTCTGCCGTAACAAAGCTCATAAAATAGTGTTGTCATGGCAACGCTATCTTATGCTTGTTCTTGGTAGCGAAAATTATGAAAATGTCTTTTTATTTGCCGTGCAATCAGGCATGTTTTACATATAAACAATCAAGGAATAATGTTATGATAACTGCACCATCTAGAATTATGTTATAAGATTATTCCTTGCACGGCAAATAGATAACCATTTTTATAATTTTCAATACTAAGAACAACCATATGAGAGCGTTGCCATGACAACGCTATTTTATGAGCTCTGTTACTGCAAAATTGCCCCATAAATAATATTTTGGCATATAACGAGGTTACAGATTGATTGTAACCGCCATGAGAAAAATCAGAAAAAATCTATTGCAACCACTTTGAATATTATAGACTTTAAAGAGGAACTTATAAATTTGGTTCCCAAAATGATGAGAGAGATGGACAGAGTACATGTTTACCATGAGCTTGCAATAAAGATAATATTGACTCTGTTGGGGTCACCAAAAATTTGATTTTTTGATATTTTCATTTTTTAAGTCATGTTTTTAATATGACACAAATTTTGTACCATTTTTTAATATTGATTAAACACACGAACTTTTAATGTCACTTGCCAAGGCACTTAGTACATGGGACATTTCCCATAAATGTAAAATTGGGTTTATAATGAAACTCTTGTTGACTTATTTGTTTCACTAATTTATTCCCTTATGATTTACATGTGCATAACTTAACTTATTTATTTAATTTATTATTGTTTATTTTATTTATTTATTTAACTGGTTTTGCGAGTTACGCGGGTACTTTCTTATGTCCTTTCTTATTGACGCTTAAACTTGTACTGACAATTATAGCTAATATTTTGGGTAAATATTTTTTATTGCCCTGTATGAAGCGAACAACTTTCTGCTTGTGCGTTGTTGCATTTTTTGTACATTGGAGCAATTTGATCCAGTACATTTTTTGTTAAATTTACTGAATTTTAAAATTTTTGAATTCATAGTTAAAAAATAGTCTTTACTTTAGAAAACTTGGTGCAATTGTACCATTATTTTGGACTTTAGTTCTAAAAAAGGTTATTTAAGCTTACGGTTCCTGAGTTGAAATGAACAAAAACGATACAAATCAACCATTATAACCGAAAAATTGTCATGAAAGCAGGATAGAATTTTTTCTGATTTTTTTCATGATAGTTACAATCAATATTGTCAATTAATACTGCAAACCGGCTCTTATTTCAATACAGATAATTTAATATACAAGCAATAGTTTTGTAATATTTGTATTTTTGTTGTAAACAAACGAGAAAAAAGTGCTCAATTAATTTCAAACAAACAAAAAAAAAAAAACAAATGAAAAACTATGAATATATTAAGACTTAAATATATTTATAAATTGATTATACTATTTAACTACTCAATAAAAGCATATATAAATATAAGTCATATTTGTTTTTATCTGATTGATTATATATATATATATATATATTTAATATATATATATTTATATATTTATATATATACTAGCTGGCCCGGCAGACGTTGTGTAGCCATAAAAAATTCTTGCAGATAAAAAATAACTAACTGATTATTAATGTAGAAGTATGCGGTATAGTGAAAGTGTTAGCTAAAACAAATTATGTATATAGATGGTTTACTCGCTACAACACATGTTACATATAAATGCTACTGGAACGCATTATTAGTCATTGCAAGTGCCATCCTAATGTGAAACTGATTTTATTAACTTCCTGAAAGATAAGTTAATGTTTTCATCAAAAATTCCGATTCGCTATTTTTATGTAAAAAATGGTTTTTATATTTACAGCAAATTTTATTAAATTTTTAAGTTACATGAAAGACACCTACACGTTTATTTCGTGATTTGAAAACGTAACAATGACGAAATCGTTACATTTTTGCGCAATTTGGAAACGTAAAACAAACTCAGTTTTGAGGCGGAAATAGAAACGTCTGTGTGCCTCCTAATGTAACCGCTATTTTTGACGTAACATCTGTTACGTTATATCAACGTTTTAATTGCGTTTTGTGGTTTACTGGGAACTTATGACCCTAGACCAAAATGCTCCTTTAATATTAGTAAGAATCTTTCTTACCAATTACCATCCCGTACCGTCATTTCACCACTTCAACAGATTGTATTGATCTGTGTCTTGTGATTCAGTTTCAGTTTAAATTCTTATATAATAATATTATTGGTCTCTACCTTGGAAAGGATTAGAGACTCCAAAAATAACTTCATGCAATGTTTATATTCAAAACATTTTGGAGATATAAATATTAAACAAGAGTTGGAGAGATATCAGGACTAAGTACAGTAAGGCAGTACTCTGAAGTGTGCGGTAATGACTATGATCTTGTCGGAAGCACCGACGCGCTGATTTTTGGG